ACAGGTGAGTATGACCTGAGACACTGAGGACAGGTGAGTATGACCTGAGACACTGAGGACAGGTACATCTGGTAGGTTTGTGTGTTTTGTTGCAGTTCTGCAGTTTTCTGACCAACGCGTTGAAAGAGCTTCAGGAGGTTTGAATCTCAGGAGACATTTTTTGGTCGACACTAAGGCGGAGCTCTGCTTCTATCTCAGAACCAAAGTAAATCATTCATTTACTTTTTGTTTTACTTCTCAGAGATGAAGAAAACCTTTTGACAGGTTTTACAAAAATGTGATATGTTCACTGAGGGAACTCTTCTGAACCAATGCAAACCAGATCTATTCAAATCATTTGGAATGTGAAATCGATGATGAAACTAAATCTGCAGCGTGGTTTCTACCTGGCAGCAGTTTGCGCCGAGCCATGGCAGCGGCGCGGTGGCTCTCATACTCGACGAAGGCGAAGCCTCGGTTCTTGGATTTGTCTGCAGCACTGGGGTACACGATGACGTCAATGACCCCTTCGGTGACCTTCCTCATCTCCGACAGGATCTCCTCGCGCTTCTTGGTTTTGGGAATCCCGCCCACAAACAACCTGCAGTTGTCGACACTGGCACAAACACCGAGGAGGCGACCGTTCCTGCAATGACGAGGAAAAATTTAATATTTTGGATGAACCCTAACCCTAACCCATTTACTAGTTTACCAAAGTTTAATAAGATAAAGAGACGCTGACCTGATCTCATAGTTGTTAAGCTGCTTCATGGCTGTTCTGGCCTCCTGTTTGGTGCTGAAGGTGACAAAGGCGTAACCTCTGTTGTTCCCGTTAAAGTCCATCATCATCCTCACTTCATAGATTTTACCAAACTGGAGATACGAAGAGGGAAATTAAAAAATGGTGGAATCGTGGTTGGAACTCTCACATTAACCGCCGTCCTCTTACCTTCTCACACAGCGGAACAAGTTCATCTTCAAACAGATCTCTCGGCAGTTTCCCCACAAAGATCTCGCTGCCTCTCTCTGGTGGTGGGCCGTCCCATCCGGGTGGTGGGCCACCATACCGCCGCTGACCGTTCTCCTGAAACACACCAGGAAAAGGTTTGAAAACATGATGTATGACACAAAGCTCCAGATGGAACACAGACCACTTCAGATCAGAGCACATTTCAGGAACCAAAGCGGCAGATGAAAGTTCTCCAGAGTCAGAAGATGGAGTCGGTTCCTGACCTGCTTCAGTTGGTATCCTGTTCGCTGTGTGAGTAGCCGCAACGCCGCCTCCTTCTGCGTCCCCATCACTCCATCCCCGCTCGCTTTCTGATTGGATTCCATTAGGTGTGATTGTCAGTGAAATGTAAATCAGGGAAATTAGGGGTGCTCACTGGAAAAAACAAACAAAACCATCAAATAACTAAGATTCCCTTTAAAAAGCTGATAAGTATTATCTTGATGAAGAAATGTTCAATTGTCTGTGAATAGTACCCGTAAATGTGCAGTAATAAAAAGTACATGTATAGTAGAAGTGTATATTAGTAGATAAAGTGAATCCTGCAGCTTGTTTTCCCTCTGAACCTCAGATACCAGTGTTTTGAAGTGAGTATCATGGAGGTCAAAGTCTGTTCTGTAATCATTGACAGAGACTGAGGACAAACCACAGCAGAGTCAAACCACCATGAGACGGACGTAGCACAGCATTGGGATGAATTCATTAAATAAACATATCTTTGTCTTCATACGTCCTTTATTTCAATCAAATATTCTCAGGTCTGTCGCAACTTTCTTTTAAAACCCTGAAACCAAGTCTCAGCTCTGTGAGGACACACAAACATCATCAACTTCAATAAACATCCTCTTGACAAAAAGTGTCCTCGCTTTACAAAATATTCATTTATTTTAATTTAAAATTCTCTTCACAAAATATCCCAAATTTACAGAAATGTCCAACATGTCCTTTGTGAGCTCAGTGTTTTCTAACTTGATGTGTTTCATGTGGTAACAATAAAAACTAGCTTTCTCAAGTTATTAACCAGGACGAGCTATCGGACTGATGATGTCGTACTGACAACGTGTCTTCATCACATCATCATCACTCAGTGTGCGACTGTGAGTACCACACACACACACACAAACACACACACACAATAAGTGGGTGATGTTTCATAACTGACCATCTGTAAAAAACACAAATGTTTCTGTTGCAAAAATGATTTAAATCCACAGAATTTCATTTTAAATTCCAGTTTGAACTTTTGAACGAAACCAGATGAGTCCGATGAACTTTGAACATTTCCACCTAGAAACATGGAAATATTTAAAATCCTGAGTCGGCTTTAATTTGACATTTTATCTGAATGTGTTTGAAAAGCTGTTGATGGAAAAACAGGCAGCGAGAAATTCACCAATCAATACTGCTGATAGAGGAGGTGTACACACACACACACACACACGTAGATACACACATACACAAACACACAGCTCATAGATAAACGTTCATTCTAAATCTAAACTTGTTTTGTTTGTGTTAATATAAAAGATAATCAAGACTTTTATTTACTATTCAACTTTATTCCTTCACTTTGTGTCCTGTTCCTTCACTGAGGTACGCTGTTAGCATGCTAGCTGTTAGCATGCTAGCTGTTAGCATGCTAGCTGTTAGCATGCTAGCTGTTAGCATGTTAGCTGTTAGCATGCTAGCGGTGTGTGTTTTCTCTGCTCAGCAGCTCACAGGGTAAAACTTCCTCAAACTGTCATTGAACGCATCACTTCAACATCAATCACATGTATTTGAACCTAACGCAATCTTTGATTGACAGCTCAGGAATCTCCTACGATTCCCAGCATGCCTTTCAACAAGCCTGCCTTATCATCTCAAATCATCAAACAAACTATTTACTGAAGTTAGCTAATCATCCCGGTTCGTTATACCACTTGGAACCTGAAGAGGGCGCAGTGAGTCACTGTGGCTGCGTTAGCTGAAGCTAAAACTTGTGAAGAAAACAATACATCAACAAAATGCTGATTCAATCGGATGAACCACTAATAACAATTCAACAACACCATAATGAATAATAAAGGAACAAACACAAAATATCAATATTTTATGTTGATTTTCTGTTTGGATTTTTAATTATTCAAATTGAAGTGAGAGTGGAAAAAAAAACTTAACATTTATTTTATTATATTATTATTCTGTTTTATTGTCACCTAAATGGAATCAAAACAAATGAAACTATAAGTGTTCTTGAATTATTTCTGGTTATATCAAGTGTATTTAGCTGATAACTAGTTTACACTGGTTTGATAAATGATCTATGATCAGATCAATAATTCACTTTTATTTTTGATCATATTTCTGCTTGATGTTATCAAAGGATTCGTTTTCAATGTGATGCTGCAATAAAATAATCACATTGAAAATATTAGTCTACATATTGTGGGTAAAGAGACCTTCACTCTCTCTCTGTCTTTTTGTCTGAAGAACACAAACGATGGTCGAGCGACACTGACTTCACACATTCTCCATGAATTAATCCTGCTCAGCCTGTTTGTTCTGCCTGTTCATCACACACCAGTGAAGAAGAGTGGTCAAGCAACAGTCACTTTACCTGCTCTCTCTCCGTCTCTCTGTCTTTAAATTCACATTAAATAACTTTATTTAATTCAGTGGAAAGAAAAACTCACCTGAGCACTTTCAGAGATCACTTCCCTCGGATCAGAGCTGTGTCATTCTGAACGCTGAGTGTGTTCCACGTGTCATCACGGGCCTGTGTGTGTGTGTGTGTGTGTGTGTGTGTGTGTGATCACATCATATCAAACTCCAAAGGTTCGCTGTCTTGGTGTTAGCTTTACGAGCCGACCAACGTTAATGTTTAACCTGCTGCTATCTGTGGAGACACACATGCAAATACACTGTGTGTGTGTGTTTGGTGTCAGGAGGCCTTTGACCGACTGTCACTATCTGTATCAAGGTGCTCTGCAAATTCTCTTCACCTACTAACACACACACACACACACACACACACACACAGCAGATAAGATGTTGCAGAGAATATTCTTTTCTCTAAATCACTGAAAATAAGTTTTAAAGTATTTGTCGCTGCTGATGTGTCGTCACAGTAAATGACTCACATTTACATATATTACATATATTACATATATACTGTATATGTGTGTGTGAATTTCACTGCTCCCTCATGATTTAATTAATTGTTAGCTCATTACCCCCCCCCCCCCCACCCCAACAGCTCTCATATATTAAAGTATAGAGCATCGTTTGATACACTTGAACACATTTACATAATGTTTACACTTGGACTGTAAACACATGTTCATATGTAACATGAGGTTTTATATGAAAAACAGCAAAATATTTCACTGCTGCTTTTCCTGAGAAGTGAGCTGTAGTGGCAGTGACCAGCAGACAGGGGGCGGCACAGGACAGAAGCAGAAACATGAACCTGCAGGTGAACTACAAAGAATGATTGATTGATTGATTGATTGATTGATTGATTGATTGCACTATCACATTATCAAGAATCACGGAAACAATTAAGTTCTATTGTTTTACGTGTGGACAAATAAAACTTAAAAGAATTATTTTGTTATGAGGAGGAAGAAGAGGAGGGTATAGGTGGGGGTGTAAGGCGAAACAACTTTCGTACACCCTCTTCATGATCATCCTCCTCTTCCTCCTCCTCTTCATGATCATCCACCTCTTCATTTCTCTTCCGTTCTCTTCCTCCTCCTCTTCGTTTCTCTTCATGTCTCACGCTTTCTCTTCCTACTCCTCTTCATTTCTCTTCCTCCTCCTCTTCCTCAGTTTGCGGACTCGTGACGGAACATCTCTCTGCAGCTTCAAACCGAAGTGACACTGGATCCTGCGTCGTTCCCCTCTCCTCTTCCTCTCCTCCTCTTCCTCTCCTCCTCTTCCTCTCCTCCTCTTCCTCTCCTCCTCTTCCTCTCTGTCAGGACTTTTCGCGGCTCTGCGGATTTTAAAGTCACGTTTTTTCCTGCAGCGGTTTTCGGAGCTTGAAGCGTCTCAGAGATTTAAAGTTTGAATTTCTCTCCGTTTTCTTCCTCGTGATTCCTTCTGTTCTTCTTCTCTTTCTGACTGATGTGTTTGCTGGAGGAGAGGAACCCTGCAGGTGGAGGTGAAAGTTTTCTTCAACCACTTTGTGTCGAGTCAAAATGACGTTTAAAGGAGCTTGAGGAATAATGATCTTATCTTCTAATTATCTTCTATTTTATCTCTTGTTCTTTCTTTCGTTTTTTCATCTAAAATCACATTTTTTCATTCGAATGAGACCAGAAAGCCTCAAAACCCTGAAGAAGAGTCAAGACAAAAAAAACATAGAAGATTTTTGCGCTTTGAAGAAATAATGGTAATTTCTTAAGTAAATAAACTCAAGTAGCCCTGAACCCCCCTCAGAATCTGGAGGAAACTAAAGAATCTGACAAACCTCAGATTGACTCTATGGTCCCTGAAGATTCTGAGAAACCCAAGAAGAACCTTGAGGAGCTTCGAAGAATCACAGAGGAACTTGTAGAACCCTCTGAAATAAACAAGATCCAGGCAGAGACTGAACTGTTTCAAGGAGCTGCAGAGGACTGGTATCTAACTTGCGGAAACCTGAGAATCTGTGGAACCTTTTAATTACCTTGGAGAACCCCAGAAAAACTCTTTGCAGCCAACAGACCCTGAGATAATCTGGGGGAATTCCACAAATTTAGTTTTTTGAGGAACCCGACAGGGAATCTCAAAGTCTGGGGGTCCTAGGAACCCTAACAAATCCTGAGAACTCCTCACACAGGGACCCCCACAGGATTTATGGGCACCTTACGGGACCTGCAGTACGCCCTCCAGGAGAAGATCGAGGAGCTGAGGCAGCGAGATGCCCTGATCGACGAGCTGGAGCTGGAGTTGGATCAGAAAGACGAGCTAATCCAGCGACTGCAGAATGAGCTAGACAAGTACCGGTCTGTGATCCGGCCGGCCACTGTGCAACAGGTCCAGGCCCAGCAACAGAGCCTGGTCCTGCAGCCGGACCAGCACCGCAGCAAGAGGCAGGCCATCTCCGCTGAGCCCACGGCCTGTGACATCAGCACCCTTAGCCACGTCACCCTGCCATTCTACCCCAAGAGTCCTGAGTAAGTCCACCTCATGACACGTGTGTTTGTGCTGTGACATGTGCAGGAGGTGACATTTTCAACAGGAACAAAAGGATTTCTTCTTCTCTGCTTGGTTTATTTGCAGGTGGCAACCAATATCAAGGTGCATTACTGCCATCTACTGTATTGGTGCACTGTTACTGGAAGTACAGCAATACCAATACTGATTTAATGTTAATGACAGTTCATGATGAAGCTTTGATCTAAACACTCAGTCTTTGATCTCTGCGGTGTTAATCTAGCTGCACAGTTGTGGGAGATTGTGGCAACAGAGCAGTTTTGGTGAAAGATAGATTTCCTACATTATACAAAACATTTGTTCCAGTTTATACAGATGGATCCAAAGATCTATCACGGGAAGAACCAGACTGAACTGTTTCAGTGAACAGGAGAACCTCGGATCGTTTGTCAGTTTACACGGTGGAGATGGCAGCACAGTTGTAGCAGCATTACAGTGGTTACAGGTATTAATCTACCTGGACAGATTTTGGATTTTGGAGTTTTTCCATTATATATTTCTCGTTTATATTTATTTATTAAAGAGTCCATTTTTAAATCTGTGCTTCCTTTCTCAGAGACAGTTTCATCTTTTCATCCTTTTGTTGGAGTCGATAATAACAACCTCTGTGTTGGTTTTTAATCCGTGTGGTCCTCCCACACACATGCTCACGTATACATGCACACACACACACACACACACACACACACA